AAAATCATGGTTTGAGATATGTTGGATTTATCACTTGGACCGAGTAGTATGAATATTTCCCTACATCTAGCCGGGCAATGTCATAACTTCAGTCGTGCCAGGCGACGAGCGTGGGGCTCGCGGGCAGGGACACACAGAAATCAAACATTCTTTGCAATTCAAAATGTCACAGAAGCTCGCCTTGCAAGAATAAATAATTCTAATCTTAATGAAATTCTTGCACAACCTTAAGATATCAATATTTATATTGATTTTTCCTAGATTACTAACTAATTTTTAAACTACTGTTCGTAAGTAATATTTTTATCAAAATAAGAGTAAGGTAATTACTGATGTTATTACTTTTAATGGTTTAACTTATTTTTAACTACTATGGGGACCGTGCGCAAAATGTAGAGGGCAGGACTATTATCTCCCTAGTGTTTTATTCCCGAAGATAGTGAAGTCAAAACATTCATTTGTAAACACAGAATATTCATAAAAATGGAAAAATAATTAAATATGTATTTCAACCAGTATCAATAATATTGTATATGCTCAGAACAATGAGAAAGGTAAAAAAATATTCAAGTCCAACCATGTTATGGTGTAGTAGAAAAAAGTAATAAAAGCGGAGCTAAGATAACTGTAAAAGTTTTACCAGAAACGAGTGTGTCAAATGTTTATGATGTCACGGTCCCGATGCTGAGTTGCATTTTCTGTAACATTCAATAAGAATGATGTAACTTTAATTTTATAAAATAAACAAAAACACTACAGTTCGTCTGTTTTATTATATTGCCCAAGATAAAGCAGTCATTATTCATACTGACCGGGAAAAGTGATTAGTCATGGCGATTTACTTACATACACCACTAGATACAGACGTTATGTATACAGACTGGTCATTATTTATACTGACCGGACTTTTCAAGTTGCCCGTAACATATATATACTTCAATTTGCTCCTGTTATTTAGAGACGCAAATCGGGCATAAGGGGGTCATTGGGTCAATAAATACAAATAAATTTGAATAATATAATATTATTTCCTATAGTATCAAATAGCTAATTAAATTCGTGCAATACTTTAAATTTCTGTTAATTATATTTATCATAATCTAGCCAATTAATTTATTCAAAATATTGATGTAACGATAAGACATGCATTTAGGGTGAGGCGTGGCGCGGTGTGGAGCCGAGGCTCCTAATTCAATCAGCGCTTGCAGACAGACACACCGCCGTGATTAGATTAGACGCCGGCCACAATTACGCAGATCAGATTTACATCCGTCGCCGCCGCTCTCGCCGCCTCCGCTCGCGTAAATTCTAACTAATAAATACTAACACTTTATTAACACTGAGTACTATGATTTTGAAAATTATTTCAAGAATATTTTACAATATGAACTTTTTAATAACTCGGGAGCTTAAGGTTACGGAGTAGAGTCAGGCTGCCGTCATTAGAGGGGTTACCGTCCCATTGCATAATAAAATGGGCAAACTTTCCTCAAGTCCAATATAAATTAGACAGCGGCTGAGAGCCGTAGCACTTAAGATAGGTAAGATATGACCCGGCACGAATTTGAGCTAACAAACTTCCCCTTATATTGCCTCCGCAATCTTGATAAAAAGAACTATCCATGATTCAAACTTAAAGCTGGATTAAAAGATGAACGAGTCTATGAGCAAGTTTTAAAACTCCGAGTTCTTATAACGTGATATAATTTTTAATAATGATTACAAATAATAAATCTTTATGTGTATATAAAACAATAAGTTTATTTAAATTAATATAAAATAATAGAAAACAGTCATAATATTAGGGTTATTACATTGTATTATGTGTTAAAAGATATTCAATCTTTTATATAATTTAAATTTTACTTTATGGCCCATCCGTAAAAAACATAAAATAGTAATGTAACAATAAATATAACATAAATAACTACTAAGTATAAATAATTAATTATTTTAAATATCTCAAAACAACTAAACATGCTGTTGCAATATCTATTGTATATAAGGTTTATTTATATATACTTAAGTACCTAACTTTCATACGTAAAGCCTATTACGGGATCATTAGTCTGTCGATAAAAATTTTCAAGATAGTTCATTTGATACATTTTAGTAACAAAAGTTTATATGCCTATGTAATTTAATAAATTTTTCCTTTTCTTTGAAGTGAATACAGTAATAAATACACAGGTAATTTATTTAACGTATTCGATTATAAACTCACAAAGTATAGAGGTACTTAAGAGTAGTACTTATAATAAATTAAATTAATCTATACATGTAATAAAATTGTAACTAAGCCGAATCTGTACATTAAATATTTTTTGGAAAATCTTACTGAAATATTATTATCGATATAGAGGCCGAATCTATAGTTTTTAGAATTTTTGTCTGTCTGCCTGCCTGTCAGTCTGTTGCCGCATCACAGAAAAACCACTATAGGGATTTTGATGCAATTTGGTATGGTGAAAGCTGGCTATCCGGGTCAACATATAGGATACTTTTTACCGCGGGAAAATATTTTATTTTTGAGAAAAAATAAACTGCAATGTAAGAGTATACTAATATGTAAAACCTAAGAATTTGGTTATTGGTCATCTGAATGCGGGCGGAGCCGCGGGCAAAGCTAGTATTAAATATATGCATATACTCAATACTCATACCTTAATGAAGCATGCACGAAAAGACACGTGCTCATAGTCGGACAAGTTATATACATGTATATTTTAATTTAATTTTTATCAAAAAAAAATTAAAATCCTTAAGAATCTTACTGTTTATTTCGTAAAATTGCTTCTGGCTGAAAATTAAAACTGGTTGGATTGTTTCCAGTATAACAATCTCAGTGAAATGCATTTTAAGCGGTTAATGCCGTGGAAATTGGTGTGAAGCGGGGACGGGATGGCAGCTCCCTGCAATTACACAGATGTCGCGAGAGCCGCCCACACCACGTCTAATAGCAACCCGTAAACGTTCAATTTTGCCCGCTATTAATGTTGTTTCATTTGTTCACTAAGCCACTACTATGCCTGCCATTTTTATTGTGCCTCAATTATTACCTTAATCTTGTTCTATGAGCTTAATTAGCCCATCTAAAACTCAGTTAAGACTACGTGTTTTCACTTGTTATTTTCTCGAAATTATACAATTTATTTATAAAAATATACATTCAACATTATATAATTTGCAATCTTGTTAATCATTTTAATCATTAAATTTACAATAAAAAAATATTTTCTATTTTCCTACTCGATTAGATTATTTATTTATTATTATTAATAGCAATGCCACCGGCCCCAACCGCGTTCAGATAACCAAAAACCAAATTTTTAGGTTTTACATATTAGTATACTTTTACATTGTAGTTTTAGTGTTTTTTCTCAGAAATGAGACATTTTCCCGCGGTGAAAAGTATCCTATATGTTGACCAGGATAACCAGCTATCACCATACCAAATTTCATCAAAATCCCTCTAGTGGTTTTTCCGTGACAGACAAAAATTCTAAAAACTATAGATTCGGCCTCTGTATCGATAATAATGTCTATTTCAATAAGATTTTCTAAAAAATATTTAATATACAGATTCGGCTTAGTTACAATTTTATTATATGTAGGTATAGATTTATCTCGAAGTTTGATAACTTGCGCTGCTATAATGGAATAATACGCAAAACTAAATTTTTATACAAGATTACATTGATTTCAGTGAGCTTGGACCATTTAGGCACTATTAGACAGTTGGAGCTTAATGATAACGTGCTCGCTAGGAAAACAAGTGAAGCGGGTTCAAACCAGGATAAAAACTCAAAACCTATCATATTTTCATGTTCAAATCATTTTCAACGAGATAGTTAATTAAAATATAATGAGGTAACCTCCATGTGCAAGAGAACCTAACAAGTCTTCAAAATACATGTGAAGTCCGCTAACCCGCTCTCGGGCAGCGTGGTGGACATGGCCTGATCACTAATATGACTCGCGTTTAAGGAAGGCCCAGCAGTGCGCCGTTCAAAAGGGCTTAATGAATTATTTGTATTCAGTAATGAATTATTTATCCCAATGTAATATTATATTTATAATCATACAATTACAAAAGCTAGCGTTTGGTTCAGTTCAACCGTTATTATTTAACTATATTCTACAGTTCCTGACTCATAATTGTAATCTTTACAGCTTACACCAACGTATACAATTAATTTCTCTTAGATCGTATTCAGAATCACATTTTACGATCCCGTTTCGTAATGTTAAAAGCCAAATGACAAATCTTATTGGCATGATCGTGTTTTTATAAATTACTTTTCTTCTTGAATATAAAGTTATCTAAAAAGAAACGTTTCTTTAATTTCCGTTACGTCACTCATCAAATTTAGGATCGATTGGATATCACTCGAGAAATGTTTTGCACCCCACAAATGGAACATTTATTACTTTCTTTGAAATAATATACTTATATGTATGCAGTATTTATAAGTGATCATACTGAGGCTTTTAATAGTTTAGTTATTATCTATGTATAAGAACATATATATATATATATATATATATATATATATATATATATATATATATATATATATATATATATAACTGAAAATCAGCGCTGCTTGAGATTTCGGTCTTAGCAGCATTAGCTGAGTTATTACCCTTTGCCATAAGTTACTTTAAGCTTTACTGATCCTGTTAACATTTGTTACTGTTTTTATGGCAATAAATACTTTTTATTATTTTTTATTATATATATATATGTCATTGTCTACTTAACTTCCAACAAAAATCTAAATAATCCAAATATTAGAATTTAAAACGAAGTAATCGGTTCACAAGGATAGGCAATTTAAGCGTAATATGTAATGGTAAAGCTTCTTATAATATATCTATAATATGTACAACTGGATTATACCAACAAATTATATTATTATTTCATTCAAATAATTAAAGTAAAATATTACCCTTAACTAAGCTATTTACTATACTGTGTTTCTTATTGTACTGTACAGGTGGCTTGGATGCATTTTGAGCAGTCTGCCATTTTAACAGTCCACAACCACGTAATCACGCGTAATCCGCGAGTAAGTGTGACCCATGATAAGCACCGTACTTGGTTTTTACACATATCCGACGTGCGAGAGGAAGACAGAGGGCGCTACATGTGCCAGATTAACACTGTCACGGCAAAAACACAGTTCGGATATCTGCACGTTGTAGGTAAGAAAAATGTACAAAGTAAAGATCTACGTGTACAATCCATACATTTTCCGAATATTTTGCTATACATACATGTATAAATATCATCTATAAATATAAAAATCTAAAACCCATCTAGGATATAGGTGCGAATATTTTTGTCAGTAACTTCGGATTCTTTTCAAACGGACTGATCAAAAATATAAATCTCCCTGTGGAACACCCATTAAAATATGATACTTTAGAATTTGTTGGGGAAGTCTGTTGTTATTTTAACAATAAAATAATTATTTACCATGTATAATCAAACTAAGCTTTTAACTTCTTGCTAAATAAGTTTACGCATCCATATTTACAGTGCCTCCGTCAATCGACGACTCGTTGAGCTCAAGCGACGTTATCGTCCGAGAGGGCGCGAACGTCACTCTGACGTGCCGCGCTAATGGCTCTCCTAAGCCTACCATTAAGTGGAAACGAGATGACAATTCGAAAATTTCTATTAGTAAAGGACACTCAGGTCATTATATTAATTTTGAAAAATAATTATTTTTTTTATAATTTAAACATTTTCCATCTAAAAAGTAGAAGAATTTATAATAATTATATATTAAATATATTTTAGTGTCTGAATGGGAAGGCGAAGTACTGGAAATGGCACGAATCTCGCGACTGGATATGGGGGCGTATTTGTGTATTGCCAGCAACGGAGTGCCGCCTACTGTTTCAAAAAGAGTCAAAGTTAGCGTTGACTGTAAGTATATTTATAGTTATGGAAAAAACTATTGACGAAAATTGGCACTAAAAATGTACTTTTTTCTAGTCCCTCCAATGCTCTGGATACCACATCAACTGGTCGGTGCACCCCTCTATTATAACGTCACATTAGAATGTTTCACTGAGGCTCATCCTACTTCCCTTAACTATTGGACTCGAGATGATGGTCATATGATACACGAGAGCCCTAAATACCATATGGAAAATACCGTAGGAGTTCCGGCCTATAAAACTCATATGAAATTGCTTATAAGACACATTGAAACTGAAGATTATGGAACATATAAGTGCGTAGCAAAAAATCCAAGAGGAGAGTCCGATGGAACTATAAGATTATACAGTAAGTTTTATTTACTGGGAATGATTATTTAGATCATAATGACGAATGACTAAATTGTATTTGTATATTTTTAGCTTCTTCACCACCAACTACTACGCCAGATCCAAGGGCGATAACTCTACCTCCACCGTCGCGACCTCCTCGGCGCGATACGCCACTAGTAGATAAAGGTACCTTTATAGTTTATAGAACTTTCATATTTTTATGAGTTCGAGTTGCTAAATAAAAGCTGAAAATCATAATTTTATAAATATAACTTAATAAAGGAAATTATTATATTACTTGGGAGTTGAAATATTATGCAACATATAATTAATTATACGATGTTTTTTGTAAATACTGTACAATCCATATCCATACTTCCATACTTATATTATAAATGTAAAAGTGTTTTTGTTTGTTTGTCCTTCTTTCACGTCGAAACGGAGTGACGGATTGGCATGATTTTTTGTGTGGAGATAGTTGGAGGGCTGGAGAGAGACATAGGATACTTTTTACTGCGGAAGATTATCTAACTCCCAAGGCAATACACGTTGTAATACAATCCAAAAAAAATTGATGATCAGAATTACTTGAAAGTTGGTATTATTGCTCTTCAATAAAATTAAATAAATACGTATTTTAGCATTTTTCGAAATTCATCCTATAAGGGGGTAACATAGGGGATGAAAGTTTGTATGAAACTACCTTTTTAGAGATTTTTTGTAGTTTTAGCGCGAGCGAAGCCGCGAGTTCTGCTAGTATGTGTATAAATGCACTTAATTTGTTATCGCTACCAATGCTATGCGCAAATATTGAGTCATAAACAAATATGTATATATTTCAGAATATAAATCAGAGTATCAATAAAATTTGCGGTAAAACGAGTTCATTTATATCAGATATCGTTGCCGATAAAATGCATCCAAACAAGATTTTTATGCCTGTGATTTCGTTTATTAAGAGATAATAATACCTTTACGAGTTGTATCCCTAGAGATCGTTCAGTTTATTTTCATTGTTTGCTGCTGTTTCAGTTATTATTAGTGGTCGTTATATATGTTTATAGATCATAAACTATTACGACGCTTTGCTTGTTGTGAAGCTGTTAACTGGCTTCGAATGTTATAGTCTCATAAAATACATACAAATCGTTTATAAACAAAGTCTTTATGGAAGAAATTTACAAATTGTAATGTGTACATTTACGATGTATAGCTTAACTCTCAACTCAAAATACCACAACTAAATAAAAATTACTGCACCAAACATAAAAATATTAATAATACATAAACATCGTATGTAAAATTTAGATTATTGAAAGCAATAGTTGTTTTTATTATATTACGTTACATATTATATTAGTATAATCGTATTACGGTCTCGTAATACCGGGGCTCATAAGTTGTTCGGTGCGCGTCATTACTCCGCCGTTATTGGGAAGTTGGGCATTTTCCCGGATATGTTGCCACTCGCCGGACAACGGCAACATCTTGCGCAACAACCTATTACATCCAAGTGTCAACTTCTGCCTTCCGTTTTACGAACTTAACAATTTTCTTTTTGACTTTATGAAAAATATTTGTCTTGGAGTAAATTTGATTACAGCAGAAGAAAAAATTTAATGTTATATATGAGGATAATTCTAACTTTATTTATTAATATTATTCAATAAGTTAAATTCTTAATTTTATTAATAGCAATTCATGAAAGTTAAATAAGTCAATAATTAGTTGTGTATATCAAAAATATTTAACTAAAAGCTATTCGTTAAAAGCACATGAACTTGAAATATTCATTTAGATATGACGATTGTAAGTTTTGCGGCGAGTTGTTTTTGCACGGGCGGCGAGTGGCGACGCGGCGCGGTTAGGACATCGACCGCTGTTCTGTTTTATTTTTTGCTTCCATTACGAATTTACGGCTAGGCCAGCCACTCGACAATATTGCGCAACTTTTCAATATCTGCCGGCGACCGCCCGGCCCATTCCATGTCCATATTGAATCTTTTCCCTTTCCTAATGATTGTTACTTGCGGTCGTCTCGTTAACATGACATTTAGATCATACAAGTATATACATTATTCAGCGTTATTGTCATTATCTGTTAATAGAACATGCAATTTAAAGAACATTTAAATGGTGATCATTTATTAAAGATTTTATTGCAAACATGTAATGAAACAATTAAAGAAAAAGACGAACACATGTTAAATGAAATGAAGTTATTTTCAATCACGTGTCTCCTCAGGAACGAAGTATCAATCGAACTTGAACGAGATCGATAAGGGGAAGCAAAAGTCTGACGAGGGTGGCGGGAAGACGCATCTCAACTGGGTGGGTGGTGCATCGCAGGTCACAGGTAAATACTTTCATTAAGTTCTGGCTGGCCAACGAAAATGGTAATGTAATCGCAAGAATTTTAAGTTTGTCTGAAAGTAGAGAATTTAGTTTGATGAACTCGTTTACTTTTACTTGTTTTTTTTTTCTATAGGGACCAAGATATTATACTTATTAAGCAATTCTTACTTAAACATTTACAATCTTGAACGTACTACTGTTATTAAAATCTTGAACCTTAATATATAAAATCATGTGCAACAAAATGCAAATTAATTGTATGCAAAGCTATTTTAAATAACCTTTGAGAGACTTTTAGTGCCACTTTAAATATCGACAAATTTTTAAAAAGAATTTCGAATTTCGTTCCTCCAGATGTTCGAAAAGGCTTGTAGAGTAGTTTCCGATTGCCGAATGCATAAATATGAATGAGAAACGAACCGATCACGACTTATTAACTATTTGAAAATTTTAATATTACAAATATTATTTTATTTTCAGATAAAGCGTACTGCAGCAGAAGCCATCCATGGATTTTATGTATAATCTATATATCATTGTATGTTTTACAATTGTTTTAAATGCACCTTGATATTGTAAACGCAAATACGTACACTGTCCATTATATATTATATATAACAACTAGCTTTGTTACATCTGAACCTTATATGCGACATAGTTTTAAAGATGATAATGATTTTTGAAAGCAACTACACATATACACTTATACGCACTTGTAAATCTTATGAAAATATATGATGTAGATATATTATTTTGCACATTATCTGCTTAGCTAATACACACTATCAGACAAAAATATATTTTAGAAACTTTAAAGCTTAGAATATTTGCTCTATAAAGAGCTTGATTCAGGGACTTTGGCAGTCACGACTCACGAACAAGTGACAAGAAAATAATAAAAACTAATTTCAAAATTTTCTCGAAAACAGGTAAAGTAGTTTTAATTATGAAATAGAATCATATTTAATCTCATAGATAAAACTTGAGTTTTAAGCATATTAGGCGATATTTATATATGTATATTGTGTATAAATGTTGTTGTTTATTATATAATATATTCATTAATATTTATAAAAAGTTCCTTAAAAGAGAACTCATGATTTAGGAGTTTAAAGTACTTTATTTTTTTACGCTCACAGCTTGACAGAGTAAATTTTTTAAAACGTAAATGATGATTATATAAAACTAATATAGATTTTTTTCAAGCCAATGCGCGCATTGCAATACATATTCAGCGCTTCTTATATTATACCGTTCAGTTGAGGTAAAATTGATTCAAATCAAATCAAAATATTTTATTCAGCACTAAATTATTACCTTTTGTACTGAACGTCATGAGTCTACTATCAGTTCGGAAAGAAGAAGCCTCAGACCTGAGAAGAACTGGCGAAAGATTGGCGAAAGAAAGATTTTGATTAATTTCAAAAACAGATGTAATATACAAGTATAATAATAATTTAAGCATCAGTACTACTGAGATTTGCTTTGTTTTACTTCCTAATAGTCAATTGGTCACACAGAGTTTAGGTAACCCACGAAAAAAACAACATTAACTAAATTTACCCAAAAATATAGAAAGGGGTACTACATCAGTATAGTTATATGAATTATAATCTAGTGAATTATATAGATTATAATCTCAGCCCTAAATGCATTGGCAATGATATACCTCATCAGTAGAGAGAAGAGAGTTGAAAAGTGAATCATATGCTCGCTCTATCCACATCACAAAAGATATAATATGATTTTAGTGTATTATTTGATCATTTTTCCTTAAATATACGTAGCATAATATGGATATCGATTAATAAAATAACTCTGCCTAGCTGTTATGCGTGCCATAGAAAAAAAAACTTAGAAAAATAATATCAAAAACACAGTAAAAACTACACAACTTTTACTTTTGACAGTTTCTTTAATGTATTTAAGACTGAAAAGAAAAAAGTAAATTTATACTTTTTTTTAACCATACATAATATAGGCACATACATATATTATTATTGTACTGCGTTTTGAATTAAGCCTCGTGTTCGCTGTGATAATATTATATTTTTATTGTAACTTCTCAAAATAGTGTACGAAGTTTACTGTAAAAACTAATAATTATTTTATAAATCTGACATTTTTTTATAATATAACCGTTTTATTCATTTATTGTACAGTTATGAGATGCTACAAATTGTGATAGTATTTTATCTTATTTCAACTTATTTAAATTTAATATTAACCTCATTTGAAATAAAACGCAACTCTTAAACAGCATGTGAAACAAGTGTTTGACAAGATATTGCCAAAGTCTGAATTTAAATTGCGACTTAAGTCTTAACTTTTTTATTTGAAATAATACATACATATTATGTATAAACTTACTAATATATTATATATAACTAATTAAATTACCCAATATTTTCATTTTATTTTAGCCCTAAAACTATTTCTTCTGTCAATTAATGTTTATATATAAGATACGTATAATATGTGAATGTTAAAGTTAACATGTTGCCAAATTGCTAAGTTATAAGGAAACACTGCATAGAAGATATTGTTGTAAATATAATTAAGCCAAAGCAAATGAGTGTGTTTTTAATGACAGAATGTATTAATTGTTCACAATGTGCATTGTACAATGATAAACATGATGAGGATTTGCGTGTCTACACGTAATGATACTATTCTTGAGTAGAAAATAAAGATAAAGCTTGTTTTAAATGTGTTTTTATGAGAATCCTAAATAAAAACCAATATGATAGATTATTTAAATCTCGAAGATATTTGATTGCTTTTATGTCTAAAGAATTTTGATGCTATAATCAAAATTTAAGTAGAGAAAGTTTGCATCCGTCGTAGGTACTTTGACGGGCCGAAATGCTTACAAACAATCTGCGGCGGATCTTCAAAGATTAGGGCTGGCTTTAGGGCGCCGACAAGACTCGACTTTCATATGGCCAACAGCCAACTCCCTTAAGCCAATCTAACTTCTTATAAATGCGCTTTTGATCAACAAATATACATACAAGCAAACTGCGTAGGTTTCTCTATAAAACCCTGAAAGTAAGTTATTGTATAGTACATAATGAATTAAATAACGAGTAATATTCATAAGCGATAGTAATGAATCACAAAACAGTAATTAATTATTATTTTCAAAAAAAAACGTATATGCATACAGAGTAAAAAACTTTTTAACAAAAAAATAAAAACCGACTTCAAACAAAAGCACTAAAAAGTAAAAAATAACTGATTGGTAGTTTTCATTTACTATACATACCTAATCAAATATTTTCGAAGTCGGTGTGCTTTGCTTTGTATGGGCTGGCACCGATTTCGAAAATATTTGATTAGGTATGTATTTAATAGGTAGGCTTTAATTACTTAGCCAAAGCTCCATCATTAGCTATTTTTCCACCCTTAGGGGTGGTATTTTTTTTTGAAATTTAAATGGGACCAATCTGGAAGTATACCCTTTCAAACAAAACAAAAATTGTTCAAATCGGTTAATAAATGACGAAGTTCTGAGGTAACGAACATAAAAAAAAATACAGTCGAATTGAGAACCTCCTCCTTTTTGAAGTCGGTTGATAAAATAGTACGAACGTATTTTAAGGCACAGATCATATAATACTACACTTTGAAGGTATAAAATGTGACGATACGTTTGGCTCAGTTTGTAGTGACCCTGCTTGCTGTGCCAGCGGTCGCGGGTTCGAGTCCCGCTGGGGGAATTCATTTGTGTGATGAGCACGAATGTTTGTACTACAGTCATAGGAGTTTATATTTATATTTATAATATGTTAAAAAAATGTTATGTAAAATTATATACCTATGTGTAGTGTATCTACTATCTGGTATCCATAACACAAGCCACGTAGCTTACCATGGAACTAGATGGTGCTGTGTGTTAATGTCCCAACAACATATTTATAAAAAGTAAGAAGTAACCAATGGAATTTTTCATTTACAATTATATCTATAGATAGGTACCTATCTACCGCATCAGGTATTTTTAAAATTAGTGCTAGTCTGAGTATTTAATATACATAATTATATGTATTGAAGAGTTCCACCATCCACCTCTGATCGCATCATCTGATGAATTATTACACTGACATCGAAAACTACGTACAATTGAATTAGTTTAAAATCGTTTTACTAGATTTATGAATAGGTGTAGCTAAATTATTCTGGAAAACGATATGATCTATATCAAAGAGCAAAAAGATCTACTATTTTGACGCGAATTCGATTCCCTTTTATATAAAGAACATAGAACAAGTTATGTGTGTCATGGATATATTTTTATTTTGTCACGACATCTCTAAAATCGCCCTATAGTTTTAGAATACAGTAAAGAACCAGCATTATCACTACTTTAATAACCGGTACATGAAGCTAATATTTGAACCCTATATTTTTATTAAAGAACTCCAATATTTTAATTATATTTCATTTATTCGTGTATCCGTGAAAAAAGTAAATTTCCATGATAAATAAGTTTCTTAATAAACTATCGACTATTAAGTACTTTATATATCAATAACAAATAAATTTTATGAAGCACACCATTTAAATATGTAAAATACGACTCTTATCTATCAAGTAAAACAAGTAATATTTGTATCAATGAGTTCATTACTTAGAGGGTGACATTGTAGCCGTATTTGTGTTTCTATCGCAACCGGATATCAGAGAACGAACAAATAAAATTATGTTTATTATCTATTAAGTGTTTTTAATGTCGATTGTTAGTATGTATACGTTTTATTTATATTTTAAACAGTATATTTTCATTTCAATAATGAGCTTCACATGTTTTTTTTAGTATTATCAGTACCTATGTATAAATTTCAGAATATTTTTATGTTTTACCTATCATCCACAAACTTAGATTGTTGCATTATATATATATATATATATATATATATATATATATATATATATATATATCTGTAAGATATATGTCTAAAAACTTAAGAAAAACGTTAATTTTAACATTTTTTTTACACATACAACACGATAAAAATATTATTTTTATACTTATTTTTAAGTAAAAAGTTATTTCTGAATTCAAAATTACCTTAAGATGAATATTCCATTCTTTGAGATTTATATTGAAATACCTAGCAGTACCTATAAGGCCCCCCGAAACTAAGTCGAAGTCTCTATGTTATAAAAACTTATTATTTTGAGAACTTCCCTTTCTCTGAAATCGGTTAAAAATGAAGACTAACTTATATAATAACTAATGAATAAAAAATATATTATGAATCTATATTTACAAAAACCATACATTCATAAGAGATGTTAATAGAGCAGAAAACCCCTTTTCTTCTAACTTGATAAAAGATAGCCAAATCAATCACATTATTGTACCCAAAAGTTTTCGGATCCATATTTTCAGAAGATAGATAGCATTTACTAAACAATATTGTACTTTATTTTTTCTTTTCATTATTATTAATATACTAGCATTGCCCGCGGCTCCGCCTGCGTTCAGAGGACCAAAAACCAAATTCTTAGGTTTTTCATATTAGTATACTCTTACACTGCAGTTTTTGTA